TGTTCCATCTTGGGTCCGTCAGTTCTATGCTTTACTCTTCATTGACCCACATCACAGATTTATTCACTTTGCATTCAGAGGCAGAGACTATAGGATGATGAGTCAGAGGGCTAGGGAGATACTGAGGCTACAGGAGCAGCCTGTCAAGTTACATGAGGTATGTTATGGACAGCAAGAGCCTCCTAGGCGTCCTCATGGTGGTTTGGTGCCCCCTACAGATCTTGTGCGCCATTGCTTCAAGGAGCCCTTTGGTGAGGGGTCGAGGAGGAACCCCAGTGATCTTACTCCTACAGCTAGAGTGCTAGAAGCTATCATAAGGAGGACACTACTTCCTAGGCTGGGATACAGAGAGGGCTTGACTCGCCTCCAGCTTTGGCTTCTCAACGCCCTGATGCAGCAGACAGTGTTTGATATTTGGGACCTCCTGCTATCAGAGATGGAGGATACTATAGCTGAGGGCTTCAAGGGTTGTAGGCAGCTTCTATATGCACATTGGATCACATTCCTTATTCTCAAGGCTGTGCAAGTTAGGACACCAGAGATGGTTGCAGAGTACAGAGGTGCCACCACAGAGTTTCCAGCTTATAACATGGCATAGAGGATCAGTCATAACACACCATAGGCACCCACTCAGCCTCGCCATCATCCAGATGTACTAGTGTCAGCAGCTCAGTAGGACGAGATTATCAGAGGCACAGTCACTACTGAGGAGGAGCAGCTTGAGGCATAACAGGAGGTGAGCGAGCCTAGTGATAGCTCAGACGATGACTACCAGCCTATTCCTCAGATGCCTCCATGCAGACATGATGCAGAGGCCGGCAGTTCCAGCTCCGCTCCACCTACACCGCAGACGGACCCTGCTTTGATTGCTATCCTTGAGCGGATGCAACAGGATCAGGCTAGACAGGCTCAGGAGACCGCTGCTAACTTTGCACGATTTCGAGCTCGTCAGACAAGTTCCAAATGACAAAGAAGAGTCCTCCAATGAGCAAAGAAGAAGAGATGCATCGGCGAAGCGCTTACTCATGCAAAGAATAGCTTATGGGATTTATGCAGCATGTAGCAACAGCACTTGGGGCTCCACAGTCACAGCCTTCACCCCAGCTTGCTCAGCCTGCCACCACTACGACGACTCCAGCAGTGCAGCCCAGTGGGCTTCAGAGTCAGGGACAGCCTCCAGCTTAGTTTGCTTCTCCCCCAGTATAGGTGTCCCAGTTGTTATCCTCGCTAGTGGTAGCCCCACAGTTCACACCACTTCAGACGGGTTTCACACCGGATCAGTCATCCTCGCTATTTGTGCCTGACACGTCAGTCTCCAGGAGTCTTGGAGCATCTTTTAGTGAGTTGACAGGGATGCCTACACCACCACATATGCATGCCCTAGGTCCTTCTACAGCAGCTCCCATCGTTGTGACTACTCAGAGGATTCCTTCTTCTGTCGTATCTTCAGATCCTACGACAGACATACCAAAGAAGATCACAGCAAAGACTGCCCACTGCACCCAGACCGCTTCAATGACGCCCTAGCCACAGAGGGTCGGTCGGCCTGAGCTTAGGGTCGATGATGATGCCGCCTGATTCAACTTGCTCCTCGTACTTCAAATACCGACTCGTCCATGCAGCCCCGTCGTCCAAATTTCTTAGGTTTTGGTGTTTGACGCCAAAGGGGGAGAGGGTTCGAGTATGTAGACTCAGGGGGAGCGACTTATTTAGGGGGAGCTTAGTTATCTATTAGCTTATTATCTATTACATTTGGAGTTTCTATTTGTATGATACACTATTACTATTATGCATTCGTGTGTTTACCTTCATGCATTAAACTATATCTATGTGACAGTGATATCTACGTGATTGTGATATATGACATGTGTGCTCTCTACTTCATAAATATTTATATGTCATATCACTTGTGTTATGCTCATTTGCCTTGCTTCCGCATTTATACTCCGATGCAAATGAGCTTTATTACTTGTACTCATGCTTATTTAATATCTTTTGAGTACATTATGTTGGCTTGGGTCATACAAGCTTGTCTAACTCTTTTGTTCTTATTGACAAAAGCTTATATGATCCAAGCATGATAAAAACCTCAACTCTTTCAGATACTCGAGGTGGTATTGTCATCAATCACCAAAAAGGGAGAGATTGAAAGCATCTTGGCCCCTTGTTGGGTTTCGGTGATTAATGACAATACAAGATTACTATGACTAACGTGTGTTTTGCAGAGGCAATTAAGTTAGGTCATGGTAATGGAGATCGATTGGGCAATCATGGATGTCATGCCCCTACGATGGAAATCGTTTTGGTTTTCAAAGGATGGACGACAAGGTTAAGGATGACTAGTTCTAAGTGTCGATTGGAGTTGGAGAGACACTTAGAGTAGTTTAGGACTTTGTTTTTCCTTTGGTCGTACTATTAAGGGGGGTATGGACGGGTAGCTTGACCTAGGTGAGTCTAGTGAGTTAGGTGTGGTGCACACTTGCTAAGTCTAGCACTAAGTAGCTCCAACAAAGCCCTTAGATCCTTTGGAGCAAACTTCATTCACGTATGATCGAAAGTTAGAAGTGAATGGAGGGTCAAATACTGACCGGACGGTGGCTCCGGTGCGACCGGACGCTGGCCGTAGGGTCCGGTCAGTTCATTTAACCAAAGAGATTGCGTCTGGTGCGACCGAACGCTGAGTGGTCGAGGGACCGGACGCTGGGACCAGCGTCCGGTCGACTCCAGTAAGGTTCCCGAAGAGTGAATTTACGACCGGACGCGTCCGGTCAATTCTGACCGGACCCTGAGGTTCCAGCGTCCGATCGAGTACAGTAAGCATCCAATGAGGGAAAAATGGGACCGGATGCGTCCGGTCAGTGGTGACCGGATCCTGCCAGCGTCCGGTCAACACTTAAACACTGGTGTGCGGGTTGAACTGACCAGAGCGTCCGGTCACCCCGTAGAGGCACATAACGGTTCGTTTTTCAGTTGTCTTATAAATAGAAGCTCCACTCGTGTGTGGAGTTACTTTTGCTCATTTCAACAGCTGAAACACACCTTAGAGAGTGCCAAGAAGAGCAAGGTCCTAGTGAGGTGATTGAGATTTGAGAATCCCAAAGAGAGCCCTTATTAGTGAGATCAAGAGTAGCAAAGTGTGCATCCACCCTTCTTCCTAGGCTTGTCGTGGTCAAGTGAGAGTTCGTGCTTGTTACTCTTGGTGATCGCCATCACCTAGACGGCTTGGTGGTGATCGGAGAGCTTGGTGATCATCCGGAGAGCTTATGGATGACCCAACTCAAGTTGTGAGCGGTTGTGGGTGATTCACCGCGACGGAGTGTCGAAGAATCAACCCGAAGAGAGCACTTGATCCTTGCGCGGATCAAGGGGGAGCTACACCCTTGCGCGGGTGCTCCAACGAGGACTAGTGGGGAGTGGCGACTCTCCGATACCTTGGCAAAACATCACCGTGTTTCTCTCTCCTCTCTTTACTTTGAGCATTTACTTTGAGCATTTCAATTCTTGTCATTTACATTCTTAGAATTGCCATGCTATAGTAGGATTGGAACTAGTTTGCTAAACTTTTGTGCGTTAGATCAATAGAAACACTTCTCTAGGCACAAGGGGTTAATTGGGCTAACTATAGAACTTGTTTATTGCGAAGAAATTTAGAATTGGCCCAATTCACCCCCCCTCTTGGGCATCTTGATCCTTTCAGCATGCATGCTTGTCCGATTTTTGTGCTTCATTGAATACGTCCACTTGCTTCACCTACCATGGCCGTGGTTGAATGCATGGATGGATGCTGGTTGTGAGGTATTTTATCAATGTTGTAAAATTTCTATCTAACGCACCAACTAAATAGAACATTACGTGGACACCTTGGAGACCGCCTAGGTGGCGCGGCCTCATATCTCTAATTATCAGTTCGGATGTCTTGAGAATGAGTTAGGCACCTCAGTGACTTCTTTGAACTCAGAACTTGTTGGCATGCCAACAGGATCCGTTTGCACCTGCTTGGGTTCCCCTAGTTGGTTGCAATCATCACCGCCTCCATCGTCTGCTAGTGCAGCTAACCAAACACCCACGGTTGCATTCCCCTGTGCAAATAAATGGTTATGCATGTAACCAATCAAGAGCATAGTACTATACAGCTCCCTATTCAGTTGAACCAAACAACATCAAATTGCATTGGCTAATCCAGGATTGGGTATGCTGCATAGGATATATATGCTACGCAAGTTGATACAAGTAACCAATTAAGCCCATACTGTTTCCAAGAGTTACTTGTAGAAAATGAAATGAAATAAAATAAGACCCACAAAGCACGGTTTTAGTTTACAGTTTCATAGACATACATATTAATTATTACATGATGTTACGAATGCTCCTAGTGAAGTTTTTTTTTCTAAAATGTTGGTAACTATGTGCCAGGGTTTCATATAGATAAAACTTATCTCGCTCTCTTCTCATGATTCTCGTGCCAGGTCATTAGTTTTCTTACGCGTCACTTTATTAAATGTAAATGAAATTATAGGCCGGTCTCGGTGGAGTTTCGTATCCTAGTTTGCAAGACTCTCTTGGATTGGAAACAGTGTAAACCGTTTATTATCATGAAATTAATTTTATACCCTGAAACTTTTATCATCTCTCTTCATTTTTACTTTTTTTTTTTTTTGAGCAACCTCTCTTCATTTTTACTATATGCTATGTCAGCTTATTCAGGGACGGGCCTAGGCCCAGGGCCACGACCCTAGTCGCGGCCCAAGAACCCCAGGTACCCCTCTTTTAGTATTTGGCCCATGAATCATATGTTAGCCCATGGAAATATCAGCCACAACAAGGCCGACTAGGTCACGCACTCACGTGTAAACGCGCCGTCTGCCCGAACTGCCGAAGCAATTCGCCAGCGCCGCCAGCCGGCCACCCGCGCCCGCGCCGGAGCCTGGCACCCGTGCCTTCGTCCGGTCAGGGCTCCAGGCTACAGAGGGACCTCAAACCTAGAACCCTCTTCCCCCGCGATGGCCGCAGGGAGCGGTGGCGGCTCGCGGCGCGCGCGTCCGAACGTGCTAGTGACGGGGACGCCGGGGACGGGGAAGACGACGACGTGCTCCCTCCTTGCCGACGCCGCAGGCCTCCGCCACGTCAACATCGGCGACCTCGTCCGCGAGAAGAGCCTCCACGACGGCTGGGATGACGACCTCGAGTGCCATGTCATCAACGAGGACCTGGTAAGTCCCTCACCTCCGCCCGACTGCGCTCCGCTCCGCTCCTTTCTTCGGATATTCCTGTGTTCGTCATATCGTGTTAATCTGGACCGTAATTTCAGCATTTGCCCTGTAGATTAAATAAAAAGCTAAAATGCCAGGATTCTAATTCGTGAAACCTGAATTTTGAGTTTATTTTGGGGTTTGAAGTGCCCCCATGTTTAGTTTTTATAAGATTTAGTGGATTTCTTTTTTGTGGTATGTAATGTCATCAGCCGCACTGCAGGGTAGGGTTAGCTTTACTTCTTTCGCTAGATGCTGTTAAGGAAACATGTCCTCTGGATGGTCAGTTGATCGTTATAGAACCCTTAGGCGGATGTAGTCAGATTTGCATCAATCCACATGCGTTGGGGTGTATTTGAGTGGAAGTTGAACTAAATTCCACCCCAATCCACACCAACACATGTGGATTGAGGTGAATCCGACAACATCCAAACAAGGCCTTAGAGACTACGTCGGTTGGAGACATGTTCTATATGCTCCTGCAACAAACATATTTCCATGTTGAATTGAATTGATTGATGCCTGTACCATGGACTAATAGGTCCCACTTTCGCATCTCATATGTCCCATACGTCGACCTGGTGGCATCTCCTACAACATTGAACAAGTGATCAAGGCTTGTTTAAGGCTTCTTTAATGGCAATGAGTCTACACGTGCTCTAAGTCGCCAGTCAGGCATGGATGAACTGCAAGCCAGCACATATGGCAGAGATAATTATCTTAAGAATTACAATGATTAGATCTTGTTTGTTATTTTCTTTTGGTCTGAGCTTAACTGATAAGTTAGTTTCTTGATTCTGACACAATAGAATTAAGAAAGCAGCCAATCGCTCATTGTTGTTCAGCTAGCTTGATTGAATTAGAGGTCTGTCAATCAAAGCGCTCATCTACCGTGAAGTCTCTTCTGCAATTTTCCAGCAAACACCTACATTCAGGCACCATAAACCCACAGTCCATCAGGAACAATACTGAGGCATGATTCGCTTTTTAACTTGTTATATAAATTGGTAAATTGATATGGCATTGCAATAGTTGCATGGTGTGGACATTTCCTTTTGCAATTGCTCTTGTATAGTTATTATTATTCTGCTTGCCCTTTCAACAGTGTCAATGATAGCCTGTAGTGGAATTGGAATTGTGCCTTTTGCCATCTCCAACAATTGAATCATACAATACTTCTTGCATCCTACCAATAGTGTTAAACCTGTATTGCTTACTCTGCTTTTTTTTCTATTAAGCTGGCCTAAACCTCAATATCTGTTCATAAAGCGCTTCAGTTGATTTCTGAGAATACAATTCGTCCTGTAGCACGCTTGACTTTTTCATATATTCATATGTGATAACAAGATAATATATTGAGGGAATGGGAAAGGATCATGCTTCAGAAAAGTGTGAGATAAGAGTATAGTATCTATAAAAGATCCCCAAACTGTTCACTTAGTATGCTGTCTGTTCCAAAGAATTGTGACGTTCGGATGCTGGAGTGCCTATTGTTCTTTGAGTTAGCAGAAGAAATCTTAATTACTGTAGTTAATGTTAACTTGAAACTTTGTAAGGACATTTGCCTATTTGGGGCACATACAAAAGCATGCACATACCATTTTGGCAATTGCAGCAAATATAAACATACATTGGAAAACATATGATATATAACTTAAGCAGTAAATGATACATCACAAACTAGTAATCTGGACACACTGATACTGCCAACTGATATGTTTTTGGCTTTCACAATTTAAACTTTGACTTTTACTTTTTAAGCTGTATGTGTATTTTAATTCTTATATATTATATACGGATGAATATATAAAAATGATATTTTGATTTTATTTAGGCCTTGTTTAGATTGCAAGTTTTTTCACTCTCTCTCCATCACATCAAATCTTTGGACACATGCATGGAGTATTAAATGTAGATAAAAAAATAACTAATTACACAGTTTGATTGTAAATTACGAGACGAATCTTTTGAGCCTAGTTAGCCCATGATTGGACAATAATTGTCAAATACAAACGAAAGTGCTACAGTGCCAAATACTGATTCCTAACCCCAATCTAAACAAGGCCTTAGCCTCATATGTCAATGGTTTTGTCTCAAGGGTTGAATAGTGTAAGTCAAAGTGATAGTTACTACCTGTTGTATAGGATTGACTAATGAACTTACAGCAAGTGATCCTGTTTGTCAATGATGATTGTTGTAGACCTGGGATGTCTGTCCATGGCTCTACTGATGCTGGTATTCAAGAAGAAGACGCAAACCACTAGTGCAACATCCACACAGAATCACTCCATTCTCGTTGTGGATGGTTCTCTTCTACTGGATTAAACTTTTCTTACTTGAAACTAGCATGGGTCTGCTTTGTGGACCTACATCCTAGCTCTAAAACAATGATCACCTGGAACAGAGTTATCTATAAAAGTTCTTTGGATAATTCTGTCTGTATGTAGTTGCAATCTGAACCCAGTCCTGTTACTGTCTATTGTATAGGATTGACTAATGAACTTAAAGCAAATGGTCCTGTTTATCGATGATTATTGCTGTAGACCTGGGATGTCTGTCTATGGGTCAACTGATGCTGGTATTCGAGAAGATGCGGTCCACTAGTGCAACATTCACATGGAATCACTCCATTCTCGTGTGGATGATGCTCTTCTACTGGACTAAACTTTTCTTCCTTGAGATTAGCGTAGCCGCGTAGGTCTGCTTTGTGGACCTACATCCTAGCTCTACTACAATGATCACCTGGGACTGGAGCTATCTGTGGCGAGTTCATTGGATAATGCCATCTGTAGGTAGTTAAAATCCAAATTCAGTCATGTTGACAGTTAGTATGAATGTATGGTTCAGGTACCTCTGTTGAAAATTCTAATAACCATACACATTTTACCAGATTTACATTTCAAAATTATTACTAGTACTAGTGCATGTTTGAATAGTGCCAATGTGATATTTATGTATTGGATTAAGTAATGACTTTGCAACAAAGTTATATTCTTGAATGATCACGGTTTTAGATGTCTGTCCACAGCTTGTTTCATGGCATGTTGAGGAAGAAAACACAATCGATAAGTGCAGCATTCCACTCAAAACTTTCCGTCTTGAGACTTTAGGGAGATTTGAGAAATCAGTTCTAACTTAGTTGGGTGATCAACAATTCCTTTCTCTGTCTAGGAGTAACTGTAATCATAGCCAGCAATTGTTAGTTCTAACCATTCACCATACTAATGCACTCTTAGTAGAACATACTGTGTTCATTTAAAAAAAAAATGTGTTGCGATGGTGAAAGTTACAGATGATAGTTATTTATGGGATTAACAAGTAAATTTACAACAAATTGATATCTTTGATGATGGTGGTTGTAGACCTGGGATGTCTATCCATGGATCCACTAATGCCAGTGTTGGGAATAAGATATTTTCTCAGGTGCTGTTATGTTGGGCTAGCTTTCTTCCTTAAGAATAGCACTGGTTTTTGCTTTGTGGATTGTGGATCTAAATCCTAGCTCTAGAACAGCCATCATCACAGACTACAGTGATTTGTGTTCTTTTGATAATATAGTTATTTATGGAATTAGCTGGATAGTCTTTGTGATGTACAGTTACTCCCTTTCTACGGTAGATGATGTGACTGATTGTTTGCAGTGCTACAAAAGAAGCAGCTTGTATAATGATTTTCGATAGACCTAGTTGTGAAGGATGAAAACGGTTGGAAAGCGGTTGGTACAGGATTTTCCCACTTTTATCGAATAACTAATAACTAATAAAAATATAAAAAAATGGTTGTGCTGAAATCACAAAATGATAATTTTTATGTTTTGATAAAATGGAAATGGTATCATAATATGGATTTTCCATAGTTGGGATGTCTTATAGTTACCCTAACCCTATGCCCCTCTTTTGGTAAAGCAGATCCATGGATATTTGTGCTGTTGGCTTTGATTAACGTTGTTTCCTCATTATGTTGACTTCCTAGATCCTTTTATATTGAAGTTTGAACAAGCAAAACTTCTTGGTGCCTATAGAACTCCTGTGTTTACATTTGGCCATTTGGGATTCTGCTGTTGGATAGAAATTTGATTAATGTTTGCTATATTTTTGTTGCAGGTCTGCGATGAGCTTGAGGACATGATGGAAGAAGGCGGTATACTAGTAGATTACCACGGATGTGATTTCTTTCCAGAACGTTGGTTTGACCTTGTAGTTGTGCTCCAGACTGACAACTCAATTCTGCATGATCGCCTGACCAGCAGGTAATCCAAGTTGAATTCGACTTAAGTGCCTTTTAGTCACCTCATCCTTCATCCTTATATTTGTGACTAAACTTGTTCAGAGGTTACACGGGTTCCAAGCTCACGAACAACATAGAGTGCGAAATCTTCCAAGTGCTCCTCGAGGAGGCGAGGGAGAGCTACAGAGAGGACATCGTGATGCCATTGCGAAGTGACAACGTGGAGGATATTAGTAGGAACGTGGGTGCATTGACAGACTGGATAAACAATTGGAGACCTAGTTGACCTGTTAAACTATAGGATGCCGCTGTCTAGGGGCATTGCTGTCTCTCCCAGAAAAGAAATGTCGTCTTATGCTTTGTGTATTGATCTGGATTGTGAGTGGACGAGGTGCCATTTTTCTAATGTACGGGGTGTTTTGGTTGAAGAAACGAAGTAGTTCTTCGTCGTCTTACTCTTTCCTTTTAAATGGAGTGAATTAAATCAAATCATTACCACAACATTACTTGAAGTTAATATTTGCTACAGACATAAGGAATGCGATGATGCCACAAAAAATCATGAGTTGATGTTGAAAGGATACAGATGTCCCAGAGGGAGATAAATTGGGCTAATTCTAAATTTCTTTGTAATAATTAAATCATACGGTTAGTCCAATTAACCCCTTGTGTCTAGAGAGTGTTTCTAATTATTCTACCGTACAAAAGGCTTGCAACCTAAGTTTCAATCCTACTCTAGAATGATAATTCTATGAATGTAAAGACAAGAATTAAATTGCTCAACGTAAATGCTCAAAGTAAATACTTAAAGTAAATACTTAAAGTAAATGCTCAAAATAAATAAAGAATGAGAAATGCGGCGATGTTTTGCCGAGGTATCGAGAGACTCGCCACTCCCCACTAGTTCTCGTTGGAGCACCCGCGCAAGGGTGTAGCTCCCCCTTGATCCGCGCAAGGATCAAGTGCTCTCTACGGGTTGATTCTTTGACACTCCGTCACGGTGAATTATCCACAACCGCTCACAATGTGAGTTGGGTCATCCACAAACTCTCCGGATGATCACCAAGCTCTCAATCACCACCAAGCCGTCTAGGTGATGGCGATCACCAAGAATAACAAGCACGAACTCTCACTTGACTACGACAAGCCTAATGAGAAGGGTAGATGCACACTTTGCTACTCTTGATCTCACTAATAAGGGCTCTCTTTGATATTCTTAAATCTCAATCACCTCACTAGGACCTTGCTCTTCTTGACACTCTCTAAGGTGTTTATCAGCTGTTAGAATGAGCAAAAGTACCCCCCACACACGAGTGGAGGGAGTATTTATAACATGGGCTGAAAAATGAACCGTTATGTGCCTCTGCGGGGTGACCGGATGCTCTGGTCATGTTGACCGGACGCTCCGGTCAGTACACCCCGAACTCTAATGTTTACAGTGTGACCAGACGCTGGGCAGCGTTCGATTAGCACTAACCGGATGCGTCCGGTCGCAATTTTTCCTCTCTGGAACCTTACTGGAGTCGACCAGACGCAGGCTCTCAGCGTCCAGTCACTTCACCTCTCTGCATCAGGTCACACCGAACGTTTTCACCTTGGTCAAATGAACTGACCGGACTCTGTGCCAGCGTCCGGTCACTATTTGACCCTCCATTTACTTCCAACTCTCGATCATATGTGAATGAAGTTTACTCCAATGGATCTTAGGCATATTTAGGAGCTACCTAGTGCTAGTTTTAACAAGTGTGCACCACACCTAACTCACTAGACTCACCTAGGTCAAGCTACCCGTCTATACCTCCTTAATAGTACGACCAAAGGAAAAACAAAGTCCTAAACTACTCTAAGTGTCTCTCCAACTCCAAACGACACTTAGAACTAGTCCATCCTTAACCTTGTCGTCCATCCTTTAAAAACCGAAACGATTTCCATCGTAGGGGCATGACCACGTTGAATGCCCAATCGATCTCCATTACCATGACCTAACTTAACTGTCTCTGCAAAACACACGTTAGTCATAGTAATCTTGTATTGTCATTAATCACCGAAACCCAACTAGGGGCCTAGATGCTTTCAGTCTCCCCCTTTTTGGTGATTGATGACAATACCACCTCGAATATGTGAAAGAGATGAGGTTTTTAATCATGCTTGGATCATATAAGCCTTTGTCAATAAGAACAAACGGTTAGGCAAGCTTATATGACCCAAGCCATCATGATGTACTCAAAAGATATGAATTAAGCATGAGTACAAGTAATGAAGCTCATTTGCATCGGAGTAAAACGCGAAAGCAAAGGCAAATGAGCATAACACAAGTGATATGACATATAAATAATGCAAAGTAGAGAGCACACATGTTATATATCACGATCACGTAGATATCACTATCACATAAATATAGTTTAATGCATAAGAAGTAAACACACGACGAATGCATAATAGTGTATCACACATAAAACTCCAAATGTAATATATAAGCTAATATAATAACCAAGCTCCCCCTAAATACGTCGCTCCCCCTAAATCTATCATACTCGATTCCTCTCCCCCTTTGGCGTCAAACACCAAAACCTAAGGGTCAGTCGGCGAGGCTGCAGCGGACAAGCCGGGCGCTGAGGTACGAGGAGCGAGCTGAACTGGGTGCCATCATCATCCTCACCTTTCGAAGCTCGAAATGACCCTCTGTGGTGGACATGACATGATGTCAGAAAGGCTGGGTCGGATCGTGGACCGAGCTGCCAGAGGGTCAGGCTGGTACAATCAAGCAAGCGGTGGCTCGATGATGCCACTAAGGAAGGGAGCGTCTCTATCATCCCGGTAACTGGTGCAACTATAGAAGGACCTGGGACATATAAATATGGAGGAGTAGGCATCCCTGTCAACTTACTAAAGGAAGCACCAAGGCTCCTGGACACTGTGGTCTCTGACACTAGCAGTGAGGGAGTCTCATCTGGTGTGAAGCCCGTCTAAAGAGGTGTGAACTGTGGAGCTGGCAGTGACGTAGCAAAATACTGGGACACCTACTCTGTCGGTGAAGCAAACTAGGCCGGTGGGCTATCCTCGACTCAAGCCTTCCATGGGTCATGTAACGCCGAGTCATCAAGTAGTAGCATCACCAAGCTGGGGCGAAGGCTGTGGCGGTGGAGCCCCAATAGCTGTCACTACATGCTGCATAAATCTAAGAAGCTGATGCTGCATAAGGATCTGCTGCTGATGCATGGCCTACTGCTGCTGTTGAAGAACCTGCGTCTGCTGATGTATAGCTAGCTACTGCTGTTGGATCGCCTGCTGCTGGCGCTGGAACTCATCCTGACGAGTCTGGAACTGAGCAAATGTAGCAGCTGTCTCCTGTGCCTGGCGAGCCTGATCCTAGCCTCATCCGCTCAAGTATAGCAAGGAGAGCGAGGTCTGTCTGCGGGGTAGGTGGCGCTGAACTAGAGCTGCCGGCTTCATGGTCATGTCGTTGAGGAGGCATCCGTGGAATGGGCTGGTAGTCATCATCAGAACTATCACTAGGGTCGCTCACGACCATCCCCTCCGGCTGAGCAAGCTCCTCCTCCTCGGTAGCTACAATACCCCTGATGATCTCATCCTACTGGGCTGCAGACTCTGGCACATCAGGACAATGGCACAGCTGACTAGGTGCTGTAGGTGTACTATGCTGAATCATCTGTGTCATGTTATAGGCAGGGAACTCTGTCGTAGCACCACTATACTCTACAAGCATCTCAGGTGGCCTAACTGTGACTGCTCTGTGGATAAGGAATATGATCCAGTGAGCATAGGGTAGCTGCCTGTGACCTCTAAAGCCCTCAGCAATAGTGTCCTCCATCTCGAATGATGAAGAAGATCCCAAATATCAAAAACTATCTCACGCATCGAGAGAGTTGATCACCCTGGCAATCAGATATGAGTCAAGCCCTCGCGATACCCCATCCTCGGTAGCAGCGTCCTCCTCATGATAGCCTCTAGCACTCTGGCAGTAGGAGTAAGGTCACTGGGGTTCCTACGCGATCCTTCGCCGAAGGGCTCGGTGAAGCAGTGGCGAACCAAGTCAGTAGGGGGCACATTACCACCATGTGGACGCCTGGGAGGCGTTGTCTGTCCATAGCAAACCTCATGAAGTCTAACTGGCTGCTCCTAAAGCCTCAGTATCTCCCTGACCCTAGTACTCATCAGCCGATAGTCTCTGCCTCTGAATGCAAAGTGTATGAAGTTATGATGCGGGTCAATAAAGAGAGAAGCATAGAACTGATGAACCCAAGATGGAACATATAATTCGGTCCATCCAATCAAATCTATCAGCCCCAGCAGATATGCAAGGTAGGGGTGAATGTGCTCTCCGGCTGCTGCTACAATAGAGTCAATGTGGCACACCCTCTGAGATCTGAAAACTGCCCCACTGTTGAGATAGACATTGTAGAAATCTTCCTACAGAGGCGTATAGAAATCCTCTAAAGCTCTCTCATCTCTCCTCGGTGGGAACCACACCTCAAAATCCACGAACCTCAGCTGCTGTACCTGCTTGGCCGTGGCGGCCCTCAAGTCAAGATGGGTCACTAGAGGTGGACCCTGTGGTCTAGGAGGTGGACAAGAACCCCTCCGTTGAGTGTCCGGCCTAGGTGTAACTGGAGCGCGAGTACGGCCAGAGTGGCATAACTGTGACTGTGGTGCCTGCTCTGCTGGCGGTGCCTACTGCTATGACTCCCCCTGAGGCAGAACCTCATCAATAACATGACACCGTCCGGCAACCATGATAGTCCTAGGTGGACCACCATGAAGTCGCTCAACACGCTCAATTCCCTCCATCGCTCCTGGTGGAAGCAGATCTGCAATAACAACTCCACTACGAGTACCTCCTCTCTCGGCACGCTCTACGGCCTCAGCAACTGCAGCTGCTCTCGCTGTCTCTGCATCTGGATACTTGCGCTTTCTGGTTGCTAGCTTCTTCGTTGCCTTCCCTTTAGGATCTGCAGACTGGCGAGGCGGGGGCCTCCGATCCTCATCACTGGGACCACCACCGACATTCTTCGTGCGAGCCATCTGATGAATCTGAAGAGAAAATTGCCGTTGACAAAGATCAACTATCAATCTATCGCTTCCGAGGCTTGGCCTCGATCCGTACTCGCGAGCTTGGCCCCAAGTTAACTAACAACTGCCACTGACACCTCAACGCACCGACTCGCTGCACGATGGAATAGATAGGATATACAAATAAATACAATATATCTAATAGATGCAAAACCCTAGGAAGCAAGCAATTTAGATACGAAATTGAAACGACTG